GAATCAACATTCCAGTTTAAGTTATGAATAAAATAATGGCTTTTCAAATCTTTGATCATTTTAATGAAGCACTTTGTTGTGAAGCCAATCAAACGGCTCTGCTGTTGTTTTTACTTGCTAACCCAAACCCTAATCATATTCGTATTTAAATGCTATTAAATGATCCAAACACTAAAACCACAGATGGTTGAGGTTGTGACACAATCACTGTTTGGCTTCTTCGACATAAGGCCGATTTTTACATTAAATTATGTTTAATTGATCAAATTAGTTTATCACATGTTGATAATTGATGACATTAACCATGACTGCTGTTAGACATCCATCATCTTTAGCATCAAAACTTCCATTTTGGGATCTGATCTCTTTGAATCTCTTGTTTAGTTGCAGTTTTCTGACTGGAAACACATTCAGTGACCTTTCCTGTTTCTCTGGTTCCCGTCTGTCTGGACTCTAGACTTTAGAACCTGAGGCAAAAAAACACCCTGAACAAAGTTGTGAGAAAAACTAAAATCACAGAGCAGATGAGAAGCCTGGAGGAGCGACTCGGACTCGGCTGTGCTCTGCTCTGCACACGATGCGGAGCTGCAAATTGGACTGTGAGGGATGTGGTCTGCATGCTGCTCTGTGTTTGGGTCGGCCCGACACGAGGAGAACCGAAGCACGGCGAGCATCAGGTGTCCTTTTGTTTGTTTTACAGTAACTCAGGTTCTTCTGTTCAGGTTAAAAATTAAATGATTGGCACATTTATGACGTGAAAATACAGACGAGATCGCAGCTGTCAAAATAACAAATGTTACTGGATGATAACTTGGTTTAAAAATTATTGCGATATATGAGAATATTGTCATTTTACAACTATAATGGCTTAATGATGTAAGTTTTCCCTCTCAGAAACTAAAGTTTAATTTTGCATTAGAAATGGAAAATATTAAAAATTTCTAAAATAACAACCAAAAGACGATGAAATAAATGTGAAAAAATATCTGCACACAACTGAAAACCATAAATAAATTAGATCACATTGCATCTGAAAATATAAAATACCAGAATGGAAATTATCAAGCTCATTTAAGTAACTTATTAATTGCTTATTGCAAGCAGAAATGAAACTGCATGGCTGCAGAATGAAACTGCATGGCTGCAGAATGAAACTGCATGGCTGCAGGATGAACTGCATGGCTGCAGGATGAACTGCATGGCTGCAGGATGAACTGCATGGCTACAGAATGAACTGCATGGCTGCAGGATGAACTGCATGGCTACAGAATGAACTGCAGGGCTGCAGGATGAACTGCATGGCTGCAGAATGAACTGCATGGCTGCAGGATGAACTGCATGGCTGCAGGATGAACTGCATGGCTGCAGGATGAACTGCATGGCTGCAGGATGAACTGCATGGCTGCAGGATGAACTGCATGGCTGCAGGATGAACTGCATGGCTGCAGGGTGAACTGCATGGCTGCAGGATGAACTGCATGGCTGCAGAATGAACTGCATGGCTTCAGGATGAACTGCATGGCTACAGAATGAACTGCAGGGCTGCAGGATGAACTGCATGGCTTCAGGATGAACTGCATGGCTGCAGGATGAACTGCATGGCTGCAGGATGAACTGCATGGCTGCAGGATGAACTGCATGGCTGCAGGATGAACTGCATGGTTGCAGGATGAACTGCATGGCTGCAGGGTGAACTGCATGGCTGCAGGATGAACTGCATGGCTGCAGAATGAACTGCATGGCTGCCATTCTGCTGCTTTAAACTCTCCAACCTGAAGCGACTCATTCTCACGGCTCCACTATCAGATGTCTCTCTGGGCTCCGCAGTGAGTCAGACTCTCCTCAACTCCACTGACTCTTCTTTTATTCAGAAAAAACAATCAGAATTAAAACTCTGATGATGCCACAGTCGAGTTTTTATTCGCTGAGGTTTGGATTAAATCCTGTTTAAATGGACGGTTTGATTCAGCAGGAGACAAACAGCAGGGAAGGATTTCCCTGAAAAGCTGCGATTTGTTTCATTTTGTGCTTATATGTAAGAAGTTAATTTCAGATTCAACACTCTGCACAGCAAGAGTCCATGTGTGTGTGTGTGTGTGTGTGTGTGTGTGTGTGTGTGTGTGTGTGTGTGTGTGTGTGTGTGTGTGTGTGTGTGTGTGTGTGTGCGTGTGTGTGTGTGTGTGTGTGTGTGTGGTTGCGTGTGTGTGTGTGTGTGGTGTGTGTTTTTGTGTGAGAAGTGGGGGGACATAAGGGGGTTTCTTCATATCATGTTTTCATTCTGGAGAAACGACTAAATTTATTCACCTTTTTCACCAAGTGATATTCACTCAAAAACTTTGTAATCCACAAAAAAATGCATTAGTTTAGATTAGCAAAGCTAATAATTTGTCAATAATTTACACTGTGTCTGGAGTTAGGTCTAACTTTATTTAACATCTCCATAAGTTGTTTCTCTTCTGAAAATACGGTTGAAATAACTTTGTAAATAGTTTTTGTAGCTTTTAATTAGTGTCTACTCTGTTCAATCAAACTGTTTTAGATTTTATAGACCGACTAGGAGAGTCACAGGATACAAAATGAAGGACTCAAGTAAAAGTTACTTTGATAAAAATGGACTTAAATAGAAGTTTTAGATTAAAGGTTCTTCATGAGCAGAAGAAAGTTTTGCTCCTGGATTTCACAATGAAAATGAAAAAGTGTTTGTCTTAAGCTGTTTTAATTAAATTAGCACATTTATAAAGAAAAGTTAAACACAAAATAAAACATGCTGACATATGACATCACCCTGTTGATTCAACACCAGGGATTTTAATACTAACTCTTTTTTATTTTTTTATTTTTACTCATTAAAAAATAAGATTTAATATCTAACTTGTTTCCTCAAAACAAATAAAACTAAAAGTTCAGGTTTTCTGACTTAAAGTAAAAAGTACAAACACATTGTACTTAATTACAGTAAATGTAACTAGTTACTTTTCACTGCAATAGAAACCAGATAGAATCAAATGAAGATTTAAATGATTTGTTTCTGGTTTAATCAGATGAAGCGTTTAGAATGAAAGTAAAATGTTTGAATGTGTTTCTGTGATGAAAACTCATGTTGATCCATCAGCCTAAATGTTTCTGGCCCTTTAAATCTGCAGCTCAACAACTCAATGAACTCCAAGCAGATATGATGCAATATCATCCAAGATGCTTGGATTTAAATAAAAGACAGAAAGTGCAAATATTTTAGAAGCAATAAGCAGTTATGGGATTATAAACTCTAACAGCGGGAATATATTATAAGTATTTATGAACCTGGCAGGAGGGATTTTTGGAATATTTTCTGGAGACTTAATGAAAAGTAGTCAAAGTATTTGCTTGCCAACTGGATCAATAGGTAGTGCACTCATTGGTGTCCAAATAGCTGCCTTTACAAAAAGACCCACGGATACTGTAACCTTCCACTAATAAATAGTGTAATAAAGCAAATGTATGCATAAATAAGCAGAATTTGTGTCAAATGTTTACTCTAAAAATACAATATAGATAAAAAGGTTTTAAAACAGAGCCTTAGTTTAAAGAATTAGTCTGAAATTGTGGAAGGGAAAATCTGTGCAACCTGCAGTGACTGGAATCAATCTGACCGTAAAGTGCCTCAGGCTGCAGAGCACATAAAATCCGGCTGAGAATTACCTGCAGTATATATCCAATTTTATGTAACATGTTTTACTTCCCCTGAAGGGAAAGGTGCAATAGATCTACAGAAATGCCTTTTTCATTGCTGATAGTAATGAATGATAGCAGCCAGGAGCCAGAGGTTGCAGGCGTGTAGCCGGTTATTTGTTTGTTGGGTCTGTTTTAGCTCTTTTCCCTTCGGTCGTTTCAGGATCTTATGTATGTTTCTGACTTTCTGGAGGTTATTTTGGTTGCAGAGAGGAAAAAATGAGAAGTTAGTGTGTGGAGCCCTGCAATGGCCTGGTTTCATATCCATGGTGGATTCAGCCTTTTGCCTGTTGGCTGCAGGAAAAAGACACTAATGGAAACATTAGAGAAACATTAATATGCACAATATTAATGTTTTGCTACATTTTGACACATTTACATTTTGCAGTATTTGTCAGTTTAAATAACAAATACTGCAAAGGTACAGTTCTAGAAACATTGTCTGACTTTGATTTTCACCACAAACCCATCAGATAATCACTCACAACACACCACGTTCTGTCTCTTCCCCCAAGAATCGCTCTCCCCCGTTGGATCTAACTTTGACTAATGGAGCCCAAAACAAATTGGCAGATGATTCACAGCCATGTTGTGAAAGCAATAACCAACTCCACTCATCTGCACATCAAACACGCAGAGAGAAGAAAGACGTTTTCTTCCCAGGTTTGGCTGCTGACTGCAGGACAGCTGAACTCTGCCCGCCAGCGTTTTTCCTCCTCTAACTCATTTCGATAATGATGTTAAATGTGAGCCGAAGACTGAGAAGACAAATGATTTTTCTGGGATCTGGAGAACAAGGAGGGCATTGAGTGCCTTCGTGTTTTCCTAGTTTTCACAACTCTGAAGCAAAATAATAAAAAAAGATGTTTTTTGGTATATTCTGGTGTTCCTTTGGGACTTTTTGCAAAGCAAAATTCATAAGAGGCATATTTTAACAGCAGTCGAATGGAAGGGAAGCTGGAGGTCTGCTGCAAAAGAAAAATGATGCCTTTTAGTGTTTTCTGCCTCTGAATTTAAAGCAACATTTTGGTTGAAGTGGGATCATTTAAAATCGAACAAAAATTAGAAAAAAATTGCAGAAAAAAATCAAGCATCACAACTTGCAAACAAATCTAAAATCTTAAGCCTGCTACTGAAATTTAAATCTCAAGAAATAAAAGCAATAATTTATGTGGTTTTCATACTTTATTATTATCATTATTATTTCAAAATTAGCGAATCATTGATTTTGCATCTTGTCCAAATCAAGTTTAGAGCTCGATCAGACGCAGTCTGGTCTTGCAGCTTCTCACCTGCAGCCCCTCGATGGCCAGCCGCAGCATGCTGGGGGTCAGCTTGGAGGCCTGCTTGAAGGTGAAGTTGCTCCAGTCGATGATGAGGATGAAGCCGTTCACCTGCAGCTCCGGGTCTTCGATCATGGACTCCAGAGACAGCAGGATGGCTCGCAGGATGTCCACAAACGTGTATCTGAAGGAAACATCACAAGGTTTTCTCTCTTTTTGAAGTAAAACATGGATTGTTTTCATCTGTTCAGCCTTTCAGGTCCATAATTCCTGGCAGGTTTCTGTGACTCGCTCTGTTTTCTCTGTAGCTATCGCTTTAACTAACTTTAAGGCTTAACATCTGCCTGCATGTTTCATGGCTCTTTGGTTATTGCCTCTCAGTTATAAGGGCACTGGTTCCATGCATGTGGTATGAGGTCAATTGACCAATGCAAACTGCCTTTAGGTGTTGATGTTTCCACAGTCCATTCACTGTTTGTGTTCAATACAAAAATCCAGTATTTCATTGTGTTGTTATGCAGTAAGACACACAAAAAATGCAAAAACAGTTTTATGAGGGAAAATGATGCATGGTTTTTCATTTTTTTCAGCAAAACTTTGGCACACATTTATATTCAGGTTTTATGAGTCGATAGTTTGTAGAAAAACATTTTACTGTAATTTTAGCTCCAGCTTTCCACGTCTGAAAACTGGAGGTTTTTCTTCTTCTTTGCAAAAGAATCAGGTCAGATTACATGGGGAGTGACTGAACACTCAAAGTTTTACCATTGGATCTTAATTACATGTAGGTCTGGACTTTGATTAGGCCATTCAAAAACCTTTGACATAAATGTTATTGTAGTTCTGGATATTTATTCTCAACCAGGACTGCTTGGTTTATAACGCTCCAACTCCAATAATGCTGCCACCACCATGCTTCACTCCGTGGTGATTTGCATTTGCATCTTCCTCAGCATTCTGATTGTCGGATAAAGAGCCAACATGTCGTATCATCTGACCAAAGCATTATCTTCCTCATTCTCTTGCTACTTTCTCAAAAATAACATTTGTGGGCTGATAGTCAGATTTTTCCCAATTTTTAGTTACCTCACTCTTATGTTATTTAAATTTACTTCACAAATGTCAATCAGTTTGTGTAGAAAAACCAAATAATATAGACATAAATTTATGTTTCTAGCATCACAAACTGTTGACAGGCGGTTAGGCTGGAGGGATTTAGTTTGCTGAATTCACAGCCAGCCTTCTGCTCAGATTTATTTGCTTTTCAATCATGTTGGATCTTAATTGCCAGTAATGAGGCTCCTGCAGAAATCAGCAATATAAGTTGGTGCCTCAGTTGATCCTTGAGGATTTTCATCCAGCTGATGCTTCAGATTCGTCAGTCTGCTGCTCAGTTACCATGACGTCATCATGAAACTAAATCACTGAGCAGAATCTAAATCCATTTCTGGCAAAATAATCTGCATAATTAACAGTAATAATGTTCATTTGTATCGTTTTTGTGCTTTTATTTAACATTAAGCTGACAGGTCAATATGTAACTCTGGATATTTAGACACTGATCTCTTTTTAAAGCCAAACAAAATCACGTTCTGACCCGACTTTTACCTTTAACCTCAACCAATATGACAATCTGGACCGAATCACGGTGCAGCCTGAGCATTTATGGGAACATGTGGGGAAAATAAGAAGCAGAGGAATGAGAACGACGCAGCGATATCGTGTAAATAATAAATTGGGATAAATTTATGCAAATTAATGATTGATTCAAGGTAGTTTCAAACTAATTTATTCAATAAAAATCATCAATATAGGTCTTAAGATAAATGTTGATTAAGCAGTACCACAGTAGCAGCTTTCTTACCCTTAGGAAACCTTTTAATTATTCATAATCATAGTATTATTTTCACTGTCATCGGTTTATGGGAGACCAGTGATGTCCAGTGAGCCTCCAGGTGATTTATGGTTCTCCGTGGAGCTGAAAGCAGGTGATCATGGTGTGTAAAAGCAAGGCTGTTTCTTCTCAAAGGGTAACGAGTTAACGAGGCTTCAGTCCAGCAGCTGGTCGATCCGTCAAACTGCAATTAGGCCCAATGCTGCTTTGAGGATGCAAACATGCTGACATGCAAAAAGAGGATTGTTGGCTGTAACTCGCCGGCTTTTTCAACCAATTAACAAACAAATATGTGCAACACGTAGAATAGATTTTTAGCAAATCTACTGATTTGAAGAAGCATCATTAAAATGTTTTGATGTAAGAAAGATGAAATTATGACCTTTTGCTCCTTTCATGTGACATTTATGCTGTGCAATTCCACTAAAAAACAAGAAATAAGCGAAAAGTGAAAATAAACAACCTTAAACTGATAAATTTAACTCTGTTTTTACCAACCTTGCTGCACCTTTAAAGAGTTTTCCAAATGTCTTTGATTCTCTTCAGCCAAACCAACATGTTTCCTGGTTTGGACTTTTGAAAACTCAATAGTTTGACTCAATATGAAACAACATTTTAACATGTTTTACCAAACACCTGATGGCTTTATGGTCTAATCTAAAGATGCTTCACTTTGGTGGGTTTTTTGGTGTCAATTGTCCTTTTTTAGATTTATGGTTCCGGTTTGTTTTTATCAAACCATAAAACATTTGTAAAGATTCGGCATATTTTTAAACAAGGTGTTTCTTTTTAGTCCAGACAAATGGAGAAACCAGGAAACTGTAAATTACTATTTCAAATTTCTACTTTGGCTTTTGATCAATTCTGGAGAAACATCAGTTTTATTCCACTATTGATCACTGTGTGTAATAATAATCAGACATACTGATCATTTAAAGCTGATCATCAGATTCTCTCCTCTTGATACCAAAAGAAGAAGTTAAACATTTAAACATCAATTTAAAGTGATTATTCTTCCCAGCAGCTGGAATGATTTTATATTTTATTCCAGTTTAAAGTTAAACTGAACAAAGTGACATCATTTCAGCCTTCTACCTTTTAAGTAATGTGACTCATTATAATGCATTTATAACTAATAATTTAAGTAACTGAGATGTTTGCCTTAAAGCAGAATACACGAATCAAGAGCCGACAAAAGGTTTTCATTTTTAGAAGAATTTACTCCTGATTTGCAAAAGGAAAAACCAGAAATGACTCAACATCTGCGTCATTTTGATCTCTGAGTCAAAAACAAATAAAAAGCCATGAAACCAACTGGGTTTAGTAACTAGTTACATTTACTCTGTTACATTTACTTGAGTAATGTTTAGGAGTATTCTTATTACATTGTACTTGAGTAATACTGTCATAAAGTATTGCTACTTGTACTTCACTGAATGAAGAACAAACATGTTTTAACTAAAGAAACCTGCTGTTTTTGTTAAACTTTCACACGTTTTACTCTGAAAGGACATGCTTATTGTTTTTATATATTTCCACACTTCATATTTTCTGATTATGTAATTTGCAAATATTAAAAGATTGTTTTAATCACTTTTGCTCAGTTGCCTTTTTTCAAACCCCCGTTTTTCATTTCTTGCATGATGTTTCCTTGTATTTGAGTAAGAACATGTTTCAGTGTTTCTGCTCTTCCGTCTCTGTTAATGTGTCCAAACATTTGAGTCCATTTTCTGTCATTTAAAGACTATAGTATCTAATATTTCACAGCTGTTTGCAGCAGGTTGCTGCTCCTCGGTGACTGAGTGGTGCTGAAAGGACAGCTCCTCCAGACTCACTCATTCATTTCCACGATTTCACAAACATTCAGGTCTTTTCAACGATTTCGGCTCTAATTTCATTAAAAATAAAGAACTTTTTTTCCTCACCTGCTCTGGTCCCAGTTGGCTGCAAACAGGACCAGGATCTTCCTGCCGTACTTGTCCAGATTGGACAGGACTCCTGGGAAGCCGTCCTTCAGAGCCTGCTTGATGCCCGGGTCGGTGGCCTTCAGGTTCTTGAACATGTCCAGGTTCTGCTGCCGGTACTCGAAGTACTGAGCCAGCAGCCGGAACGCCTCAAAGTGGTTGAATTTCCTCGCCCTGAGGAATCTGAGGATGAAGGCGTCGTCTGTCCTGAGGAAGCCGATGTCCGGCCGGGTGATGATCATGTCCCGGACCTCCTGGATGTCCTGGTGGAGAGTCTCCGGGTTTTCCTTCAGCTCCACCTTGGCCTTCTCCAGGGTCTCCGGAGACAGACCAGCCTGCAGGTGAGTCATCGTTTGCAACAGCTGTCCGTCCCTCCGGGGGTTCGGCGAACCAGCAGAGGAATGGGTTAGCAACAGGAAGTGGACGGAGAGCGTTTAGTGATCAGTGGCTGACTTCAGATGGAGGCCTGCTGCTCTGAACACGTAATCCACCCTGAACTGGCACAGACGCCGCCGCTGCTCTCATTCTGTGATGCATTTTCTACGTATGGGCCACTCACTTTTACGCACACAATCATTATTTTAAAAAAGCAAGATTTGAACTTTATTCTAATTTCCCAGCGTGCAGACGATGGAGCGACGTCCGCCGGGGCTTCAGGCTGCACCAACCTGCTGCTGATCCGGGTGGCCTGAGCGGCAGCCGCTCGCCTCCATGTCAAAGCCGCTCCGCGCTTTCTCTCCCGATCTGTGACTCACTGACGACGGCAGCATCCCCGTCTCCCCGAGCGTCGCTCGGAGCGGCCGGACAATGCGGCACGACCTGCAGCCGCTGCTACATGAACACCAGCAGACCTCCGCCTTCAAAGCGCGTCTCCATCCGCGGACCTGCTGCTGCTGCTGCTGCTGCTGCGGGATGAATCCGCTGCTTAAAGCGTAAATCCGCTGGGAGTGAAAGTGAAAGGCATCAGAAGGGGAGGCGTCCGGTGGTGCACAGGTGTCCCGTGTGGTTTTGCCCCCCTCCTGCCTCCGGTTGCTGCTGTTTGGAGAGGGGTGGGGTGGATGAGGTGGGGATTACCGTCTGTTCGCTGGGAAAGTGACTGACATCCAGAGAGTCTCTGCTCGGTGTGGATGGATGCCACCGGCGGGGGGGATGGAAAGAGAAGGGAGGAGAGGACAGGAGGGGGAGGAGTGAGAGATGAAGAGAGAGAGAGAGAGAAACCAGAACGGGATGCAAGGAGAAAAAGAGGACGAGGATGGAGAGGCAGCTTAGCTCGATGGAGGATGAAGAATGAATATAAAAAAATCATAATTTAGAAAGTAAAATAAAGCTAAAACTATTGGACTTTAGTCAAATTTGTGGCCCTTTCTCCTTTCTGTGACCCAGTTTTCTCTGTAGGAAACATGTTTCAGTCTTTATTTTCTTCTGCTTAAAGTTTCATGTGTTCATCTTTTAAAACACTTGAATTCATGAGAGCTGCTGATTATAGTTTCTACTGCACTGGAACTTTTCCATGTGTCATCATGCAGCTTCACGACTCAAAGCATTTATTGTAATTTAATGTGGTAAAGGCCATGTTAGAGGAAATATTGCCTTGTTCCCAACAGATTCACAAATACAATTCTGAAAAGTGCGGCATTTGTATTCAACCCTTTTTTACCTTCTGAAATCTCATAATTAGTAAACAGATCTCATTTATAAATGCATCAGTTCAGTGAAAGTGTGAAGCATGTGAGGAAGTCATGGTGTTGATCATTTTTCAGAAGCAAAATCTAAAACTTAATTAAATCTTTCAGGGGAATTTTAAAGTTTTTGTTTTTTTAGTGACATGATTTTGGGGTTTAAATTGGTGAATGAATCCCTGAATGGTTTCACTTTTATGTGCCAGAAAAATCTTTTTTTGAATGGAGAAACAAAACAAAAATGTACCAAAGGATGAAATATTCAGGGTCATTTTCAACCCATGTTTGCTCTAATATATAAAGCAAAACATTTGTAATGAATGAAGATGTGCAGCCACAATAGAAAGCAGGATGGTTTGGGGTGTGAAAGGCAGAGAGAGGAAGAGGAGGAGGAGGAAGGGGGAGGAGCTGACACCTGCTCAGCAGCCACCAGACAGCTGGACTTTAAAATGCTGAATTAATTTCTTTTGTATCCGCCTGATTATCTCCCATCATGGCTTTCTGTGTCAGTGCAAATGGAGCAGCGTTCAGCTCAGTTAGCTTCACTGCTGCCCGTTAAATCAGCAGTCCAGACAAATCTGCAGCAAATAAAGTCTGAATGAAGCTCTCTGCTGTGTGGAGCACAAATAATCCCAGCATATAGAGCCCAAAGCTAAAAATACATTATGTATAGGACACAATTTTAGATGATCGCTGCAAATGTGAACCAGTTGATGTCTGATTAATGTATTCCTGAGTTTTTTCCATAATATGAACTTCAAACGTGGAGCTGGTGGAAGATTTTCCCTCTGATGCTTTGATGTCAGTAAGTGTGTTAAAGCTCAAACGTTTAACTGGTTTAAAACACGAATATGGGCATCGTATTAAAACATTACTTGACCAGTGGGGCAAGAAATGTACCAAAAAAGAGAAATAGAGGAGAAAGTGCAGATGAAGAGTCTTTCAAACAGCAAACATGTGAAACTGTTTCAAGCTGAGGTTGGAAAGTGTTTTTATTTTTATTTATGCTTTCATGATATGGAAGGTTGCTTTTTCTTTTGTGTTTATTATTATTTTGATTTAATTTCTTCTACAAATTTTATTTAGCTTAAGCTTATTAAGCTTATCTTAGTAATTAATCATCAAAGTCTATCTTCAAATACTCTTATTTAGTAAAACTAAAAAACAGAATCAAATTTTGTCAGCTAACTGGGTCCTTTATATAATTAATAAGAGCTTTAATTTTACCATATGATTGAGGTTTCCCAATCCATTTACTTCCTTTCTCTTCTTGAAGTTGCACTTATTTATTTTTTGTAGTTTGTCAGCGGTTCTATCCTGTCACAGCTGTTACCTGTCCAGGTATCACTCCTGATGCTCTTTATACTTCCTGATTTCCACACATTCCTTCTTACTTTCTCCTGTTAATTAACCATTTAAATCCACTTAAACTTGTGTTTCCAGCCGTCACATGTACTGAGGAGCCCAGCCTCTGTCCTGTGCCTTGTTTTTCAGTCCAGACAAATCTGCACAGCTGTTACCTTTGTTTTATTATCTCTGGGTTTTTTCAGAGAGTTTGCCACAGAACACACTGAGAAAACACAAAGAGAATCCATGGTTAGTGGAAAAAACTAAAATCTCCTGCAAATACAAAGACATGAACATGACTTCCTACAAAGCTGAACTGGCTTCACCTTTTTGGATCAAGTGGAGTTAAAGGAAACAGTTGAAGCTGTTTTGGATCTGAGCAAAAATTCAAAAACTTATGATCAGATCAATGCCATCATACAAATCCTGTGTTTAAGGTTGACGTCAACATGACTGAGTTCATCCAGAACATCTGAGAGAAAATGATCTCAGCGGACAGGAAGTGCATATCTATGAATTTGCAGACTTTGTTAGCCACTTTTATTACCCCAAAGACAAAAATCCCCTTAAAAGACCAAATAAAGCAGCTAAATAACTGAATTGATTCTCTGATTTTTGTTCCTTGACCTTTGAACGTGTCTGTTTGCAGCTGTTTTAGCGTGAGGGAAGAAATGTGTCCAATATTCAGGCTCAGTTAGCAGTGGAAATGTTTTCAAGCTGTTAAATGAGAAATTAATTCTCAGTAAATTTGTCAGAGTGAAATCTAAATGAAATGACCTCCCACTCACAGCAGCACTGACTCAAGCAAGCAGTGCAGCTCTGCAGCAGCTCAGCACAGAGTCACATAAGAAAAGGCCAAAGAGTGGCGGCCAATTCAAAAGTCAACGAGGATCTGCACGTAAAAACGTCTCATTTTTATTCAATCTGTCAACAGCAGTTCAGTTTCATATTCCTCCACTAATTTTCCATGTTTGTTTCTATTCAAAGTCGTGGGATTTTATCCCATCTTTGCAGTCACAGGGAAGAAGGAGAAACTGTTTAATGCATGTAATGCTGCAGCTTAGAAATGAAAACATGTTTAAACTGCAGGAGATAAATCAACAGTTTCAACTATAAAAGTTAAAGTTGTTCTTTTATTTTTATTGATGATTATGGTTTACAGTTAATAAAAACTCAAAATTGAGTTTCTGAGACAAAATTAAGACCAAAATAAAAAGTACATTTAAAGCAGAAATGTTTTGCTGTGATTTGATATTTATAAGTCAAACAGTTCTGGATGTTTTCAGTAAGCAGGAAAAACCTCTGGATAAACTGCTGAACTTCACATTCTGCTTCCAACATGTTGAGTTAATAGAAGAACAAGTTTGATAGAAAAGGTGAGGAAGTGTGGAAATGTTATTTTTTGTCATTCTCTGAATCACAACACTATGATCCTACACTGCCACCTGCTGGTCAGGTTGTCTTCACTCAATTAAACCAATTAAATGTTTTATTAACTGTTATAGTTCTGTATTCTGTGAATAAATAACAAATGTATTTAGATTTATAAATCTAAAGTTTTCTTACTTTTCTTTGTAACTCTGTGGCAGGATGAAATAAATGTAATTGTTAAAAATTATGAATGGGAATTTATTGAGTCCATGTTAAACCTTTCCATGCAAAAGGCCTCTTTATCTGCCTTTTAAATGTTGAATTAATAAAGAATATTTCCATTCCTATCCGTTTATAACTCAGGTAATGTATCTTATCTGAACTGAGCTTTAGAACCTAATCCAACGTTTTATAGTTATAAATCCTAAATCAGTTCAATAATTTACTATCCTGAAATAAAAGCTAGAAGCTTCCCATTAAGCTCATAATACTTATGTGACTTTAAATTCATAAAGTGAGAGCTTTAATCTGCAGAAACCATGCAGCTGGATGAACAGCAGGGGGCAGCATTGTTAAGGTTACAATCCCTTGAAAACCTCATTTTTATTTTCAGTCAAACTGAAGCAGCTCCTGGTTTTAAAGGACATTAAAACCAGGAGGGTTAATAGAGTCAGTATTATTTAACTGATTGAATCCACAGGTGCTGGACTCTAACATTGGGTTTTAATATCATTGTGGATTTTTTAGCCTAATCATATTTGCTTTGCAGATTGCGGTCAGTCTTTAGCTGCAGCATTTAAATCTTTTTCTCTGCTTTTATCACATTTACAAACTGAAACTGAAGGTGGAACAGATGTGTGACAATAAGCTGCTCGATGAGATGAAGGCAAAATATGATTTCAACAGATCGCAGAAGAAAAAAATAAAGTCCCCCCCAAAAGATGAAGAGAAGAACCAAATGGGGTGATTATTTCTGTGTGGAGATGTTTCTCCACATGAGGTGTGTTGGACCCCGAGGTCAACCCGGAGCTCATCCACTGGAAGAAAATGGATTGTAAGCCGTGTAGCGATCAAAGACGCAGGCCAACATGCCACACCCTCTGCTCCAGCACTAACTAACCTCTTAGAGGGGAAACTCACTGACCCCTGCAAGCAGAGCAGACAGGGATCGAGGGCCGGCGGAGGCCGGACGGTTCCTGGAAAGAAGGAGGAGTGAGATGAGGTGAGGAGAGGTAGAAAAAAAGCTTCTCTCCTAAGACTTAATGCCATCTGAGTGAAACAGCATTAAAAATACAACGAGGTTAACAAAACTCAAACACATGAGAATAAATCAAAATACTGTCCTGGTCACACACTGCAAAAAAAATCTTTTTTTAATCTAGTTTCTGGTACAAATATATTAATGCACTTGAAATTTGACAAAACTAAATCACAACTAACTTTCCAGCAAGGAATAAGATTTTTTTAAGAGTCAATAATCCCTAAATATTCATGAACAGTATTAGCTCCACTGGTAGATTATTTAATTTATAACAAAACATTTTCCTTTCCTACGAGTCCTAATTGCTCCAGGTTGGCATTTCTGGCTAATTCATATATTCATCAGTTTTATTTCATGCAGACAAAACTTTAAAAATATATATTTTTTGCTTTATGAGTTGCAGAAACATCCATAATTGTTTATTTTGTTGTTTTCCTCATTCACATTACATCATAGCTTCCAGT